ATTACATGTAACTGGATTATGTAATCTTGTAACTTTTTTCCTTTACAGTTACATAAAAAAAACATTTTTCATTAATTTTTTTCTCCTGTATTTATGTGCATTGAATTTAAAATTGAGAATCCAAAAGTAACAGAAAGTAATCAATCAGGTTACATTACTTTAACATGTTGATATTCAGATTAGGTTACTGATTACATTTAACAGGTAAGTAGTAGTTGTTACAGTTACCCTCCGGGCCCCCTACCTCCATGTCCAACCCCATAAATGACTGTGAGATAAAGAACACAAAATGTATATAAACTAGCTGGCTGTAGATAGAACATGTGCCTTATGGCAATATATTGGATGTTGTGTCAATAATGCACATCTGTGTGTGGTTCTCTCCTGTGGAACAGTAAACAATATACAGCCTGCCTCTTATTACTTCTGTTTTCCACTCTCTTTATTAATAGCCTGCTCGCTCTATCCCAGGGAACGTTCTGGATGCTAACAGGAGGAACGTGCTCTGATGTGCAATCAGTGTTTCTCTCCCTCTCACATCCATCTTCCTCATTGCTTCCCGCCCCTACTGTTTCTCCATCTCCAACGGCCATCATTTCCTTTGCTCTCTCTTTTTCCACTCCTCCTATCTCCACTCTGATCTGAGCCTTCTGTCACAGGCCTGAGCTCTTGACTATAGAAACACACCTGTGTGCATGGACAGGATGGATGGCTGACAGAGAAAAGACAGAGTAAAGGACAAACAGGAAACATCACCACAGTCTATTGCTTTATAAAGTCATGTTAGGGGGATGTAGTATGAGAGGTAGCATGCTAACCTTTAGCACAAGAGTTCCAAGCATCTCCTTGGCTGGGATTAAAATCAACAAGAAATCACAAAGCTCTGCAAGCGCCTCTTCTTTAGTAATTTCCAGGTTCATATTTGTACTATGTTCGTCTACTGTGACATGTCTCCATGCTCTAATATTTAGCACCTCTTTTCACCCTCTGTCTGAAACCAGAGCCCAGTCTGCTCTGATTGGTTAGCTGGACGACTCTGTTGTGATTGGTCAACCGCTTAGGGGTGTCCCTCCCCTTAGCTTATCAAGTACAATGTGTTGGAGCACTAGCCAATAGATGCACGAGTGTTACATAGTGATGTTACGGAACTAAACAAAGTTGTCCAATGGAGACGTTTCAGGCAAGGAGGGAGTGTGTGTGAGAGAAACTCCCTCTGGAGGGAACACAGGGATTTTAGCCTTTGCAGACCATTTGCATGCACACAATCATATAGAACACACTACAGGAAAGGGAAAGCCCCAAAGAGCCCTGGATCAGAGGTTAGCATGTCACAAAAGTATAGTGAAGAAGATCACCTGCTTTATTTAGCTAATATTTTATTCCATCTGTCTTTTTGACCAATGTTTCTGTATAAATGCAAATTGGCAGTGAGACGTGTGGTCACCGGATTCTTCTCTAGCACCACCATGAGCTTTACTTTAGTGGATTTGAATGAACTGTATAGACACATAGTGGATGGACTTCATAAAGTATGACACTCTTATACAGTAAACTATCATTACTACAGTAGGAACAGACAAACAAATGAGGGTATCTCTCACCAATGAAAGGTTTAATTAAACATAATGGTATCCACAAAGATGCTGGAGGGGAAGAAGTACTCACAGTGAAACACTCCTGCATACACAGTGGAGATTATCTCAGCTCTGTGTGCAGACTACACACTCAATCCAACCTCCAGATGATCAATATGACCCAGTTTCTGCCTCCGTAGACTGAGGTACAGTATGACTTTATTTTAGTTATTGTCTGAGACAATAACCAGATGGTTGGAAGGATCCTCCCTCAGGAGCTTGTTAAGCACTGATAAGTTCTCTCTGAAGGACTGCAGGAAGGTTAAGATGTGTAAGTCAATTGGTCGGACAGTCAGTAGGCTGTTTTGTGCGGGGGCATAGTGCTGCAGCAAAACTGTGATGTAACTTGGGCCAAAGTTAGCAAAAATAAGTCATTGACATAAATTCTGTTACTGAAACAAACACCAATAATATAATAGTATATTGTGTTTTGTTGTGCTTTATGAAAGTGAGATCTTAATCCGATATAAGAACTTTGGGACAGTTTTCAAGATGTGCACAAGATGGACTTCTGGTTCAAGTGAAATATCAAATAAGAGAATTGGGATGCACCCTCGTCAGTGCATTGGGGGGGCTCTAGCTTGGACTCTGGCTCCACCTGGTGAGCAAAAATCAACTCACATAAAGCAGCGTGTTGGTGATATCTACAGTCTGTAGCTTCATGTTTTGTGGTTTTACAAACATGTGTTCTGCCTGACTGGGAAGGTGCAGACAGACCGTCTTTTATTCACAGAATTGAGACAAAGGCTGCAGTGGAATAGTGAAAGAAATGACAAAGATGAATGTCCTCTGTTTAGGAACTTCAATTCATGGTTACTAATCCATGGATCTCTTTCCCATGATCCTCTATGGGTATGACAAACACTTCCTGTGTTTGCAAAACTGCCCTAATCTCTGCCTAGGGACTATATGTACTGTAGTGATTGGTTACTGGACTTTGACACAAGACGAACCTGAGAAAATTGAACCAAAACTCAGATGTGATTTTGTTCACGTTCCTCTTTCTCCCCGTAACTGTCTGTCTCTGACTCAAACGTTACTTGTCAAAGCTATTTGGACCACAAACTGAAATTAAAATGTTTTCCCGTTGCTAAAGATTCTGCATTCACACAAAGAATCTGTAAATCTGTATTAGATTGGGGGGGGTTGTCTTTGTGTGTGAGTGTGTACATGAATTACCTCAATAGCCACAGTCCACAGTATGAGCTGCGTCTCTGACTCTGGGAAGTAAGCCTTGACTTGTGGAGACATGCCGATCAGAGAGCAGTTGGTCACCACGGCGATCACGCTCATAGCCTCAAAGGCTAGCTGCACACACACAGACACACACAGACACACACACACACACACACACACAGTAACACACAGGGACACACACACAGGGAAACACAGAAGGAGACACACAGGGACACACACAGGGACATAGACAGGAAAACACACAGGGACAAACAGGGACATAGACAGGGAAACACAGAAGGAGACACACAGGGACACACACAGGGACATAGACAGGGAAACACACAGGGACACACAGGGACATAGACAGGGAAACACAGAAGGAGACACACAGGGACATAGACAGGGAAACACAGAAGGAGACAAAATAACAGTCAGTAACTTCTTTCAACATTTTACAATTTGAAGATACAAACTGTGCGATGGTAGCGTTATGTCCACCGTATTCATCTACAATTAACATTTTGATATTGTTTTATATTACAAATGGGATGAAGTTTGTCATGGGAAATGTTACTCCATTTCTTATTTTTTACAGAATAATTAGACAATTCATGTATTGCGATATAATAACCAATACGGTGAAATAAAATGACATGATTTGGCCATATCGCCTACCCCTAATCCCGTGGGCCGCATTGTTTATACGGCTACTTGCAATAAGCTGGAGAGAACATTTTCTTTTGACTGCAGGGAACATATTCATTAGAGCTATTTGCTACAGCCCAATACTGTGACAGGGAATTCATAACGTTTCTAATGAATGGAGTTGATACAGGGAGTTTCTCTCTTAAAGACAGAGGAACTGAAAGCTACTGATTTATTCTCAAATGAAGCATGCGATGTGCTTTAATGCGTAATTTAATAAACTCATTTCTGGAATTTAAAATTAGCGTGTTCTGTTTTCAACAACAAAGTTAACTGCATAACTTTGTTACCCCAAACACTGCTCACATCACATGTCAGACAAAGGTGAACCACAGCAACAACAGTTAGTGTGTTAGTTATTGCTCTAAGGCTGTTCCATCAGATTTGAACCCGTGGTCTGTAACCTCCGCTCAAAATAATCTGACCAAGTAGTTCCCAGAGAAACTAGCTCTGTCTCACCTGCCAGACTCCGATGTTGGCTGCCGGCTCAGAGAAGGGCCGTTTGAACACGCGGCACATCTTGAAGGCATCAGAGTACACCTCTGTGATGTTGTTCAGCACCACCAGCACAGCAGCCAGAGGGTAGACGCAGGAGAACAGACTGACGTATCCAAACAGCAGGAACAACTCCAGGTAGTCGTCGAAGGTGCCCTAAAGGAGAGGGAAGCACACACAGGTTAGAGGACTCTGAAGTACAATAAGCTGATAGAGAAATGGACCAGATCTCCTACCAAGTAGGTGCTCATGTCGGCCTCCAGCCGGACCTGCTCAGCCAGAGGCAGCTCTGCCTCAGCCACGGCTTTTCTCTTCTGGACCTTACGCATCATCTTCTTGTTGCGCCTCCTCTGGAGCCAGTAGGGCAGGAAGGCCTCCATGACCTGATTCAGGATCTGACTGGTGATCAACAATGTGGCCAGACTCTGCACACATAGAGAGCAGGGGGTTCAGGGGAAAAAAACTATATTCAATTAAAGTAGGTGAGGACAAAGAAGGTAGAAAGTAACAATGGGTTAATCCCAATGACCCTCCTTGACTCCTCTATCCTTGACCCGGATATCGATCAACACACTTCATGTTGAAGAACATCTTAATACCTTAAATGCAGAAAAAGGAGTCAAGGAGAGAGGCTCTGGGAAGAGTTATCTCTGCACCCGTATCAATGCTCAATCATAACCAATCATTGAGAGTCCCTTATCCAGTTTATTGGTAAAGGAGATATATTAATATATGGCTAATTAGTCTTTTATATTTTGGTCAAATGTGTTTTTTTATTAAACAAACAATTATTAGTTGAATATGTTTGTCTTATTATGTAAAGACTTAAGAGCCTGTGTTGAACAGAGTTGAAAGGGGAAGACAAGATTGGAGACAAGATTGGATGAACCGGGAGGAATGCTGGCGAGGTTGATTAAAAGATAATGAAGGAAGGAGTAAAGAAGTTCTTAAGAATAAAACAAGCTGAAGGAATAAAAGGGATTTGGCCTACCTGCCTGAGCAGCGCCATGTCTTGCATCGCGAAGGCGATGTAGAAGAGCGAGGCGAAGCAGTTGAAGAAGTTGAACTATGGGGGAAAAGAGTGAGGAGATGAGAAGCTGTACTTTGATCAGTGAAAGAGCAAACAGGCAACGTTTGTATTTGAATATACTCACTACTAATACTTTGAGGACCAGCTGATTCTGATAGGAAGACTCCAGCCTGTGGTTCTCTATCCAGAGGAGTAGAAATATCATCAAAAGGTTTCCTTATGTGAAGTTTATGAAGGTTCCCACATTCTTATTGCAACTGTAGCAAATTGTCATGATACTTGTCGTAATGCAAGTCAATGTGAAAAAATGTGTCTGTTAAACCAATGAAACATAAGTATATTTGTATATATATACGGTATATATATCACGTACAATGTGTAGGAGCGCTAGCCAATAGAAAAGCAAGTGTGACGTAGTGATGTTGCTATGTTACAGAAAAAAACAAAGGAGTCATATATATATATTAAATGTGAGTCCAAACTAAGCCTCACTCAGCTTTTAAGAAGGTGGGGTTATCAAATATCAGAATATACGTATGTTGATTGACCTTCTGCTAAAAAAAGATTAAAAAAAGATCACCGGGATGAAGACAGCACTACTGTAGAAACGGTTGTTCCAATGACTCTACTCACCCCACTCAGTGAGGAACTCGGCAGCATATCTGTAGACCAGGTTCATGATCTCTATGACGACAGCATAGATAATACTGGGGATGAACAGCAGGACCCCCGTCCAGAAGGTGGGCTCCTCGTCGTGGACGGACAGCGCCCAGCCCTCCATCAGGAAGTAGATCATCATGACGTAGAGCGACAGGTAGAGGCAGAGCAGCACGAAGGGCAGCGACACCAGGTAGACGCGCAGCTGCCTCTTGGTGTTGGAGTAGAGGGGCTCCTCGCGGCCCGTCACCGGGTTGAAGCCCAGCACGCCGTGGAACCCGGGCCGCGGCTCTTCAAAGGCCTTCTTCCTGCTCAGCGTGCCCCAGCTGTAGGCTAGAGACGTGCTGAAGCGCTTCCATAACTGAAGGAGGAGAGGGGCACTCAGCTCTCAGCTTTCATAGAGACTACAGTGAGTTTACTCATTCCATTCTTCTGGCTGCACTAGTGTAGGCAGCTGCCGTCTGATATCAAGGATATGGAATAAATACTCAAATGGCTTGCCATACACTTCTACCAGCCTTGATGAACATATTATTGCATTACAAAAGATAATCCAGTGATTTAATAAAATGATTCTAAAATAGGACATTAGCCACTATAAGTGCTTTTACTTAAAACCTAAAAAGAGCATATAGAGTTTGTTGTAAAGGATCAGATTTTCTCTCTTCTCTGTCAGCTGTGCTGTTCAGTAGGCTGATACTTTAAGTGTGAATCTATACGCCTACTGCCTGAATCTGTTTTTAATTCAGTAGGTGGACCTATACTATATATACCAATTAAATAGTGTGTGAGCTTAACTGTGTGTATTAAACAAAGACTGAGCATTTTCTGTCAGCTCAGATTTTATTTCTGCTTTTTTAAACTGTAGTATGTGCTCATGTGTTTCATTGTTGGTGTACAGACTACTGCCTGGATAAGCTGAATGAAAGGCAGGTTTTCCTATCAATAAAATCATTTCAAGGTCACATTGTTCTGTTGTCTTACAGGATACACAACATCTGTAAAGCATTTGTAAAGTAACCCTCCAAACCCTGCTTATTAGTAGATTGAGTCACTGTCCGTACCTCCAGGATAACGGTGCACCAGACCAAGTTGAACACAGCGAAGACGACGTATTTGTCGTAGTTCTCCCAGTCAAACAGGTAGTAAGGCACGCCAATGAGAGCCATAGGCACCAGGGCGAAGGTGAAGTACTCCAGGAAGCCAAAGTAGAGCGCCTGACCCTCACCATAGTAGTGTCTGATGTCATCTGGGGAGAGGAAGAGGAAAAGTAGCAGGGAGGAAGGTTAATGCAAGAATAGAACATAGAATATATCTTTATTTGTCATCATACAAAGTACAACGACATTTCCTTGGCAACTCTCACTGCAGTAAAAAATAGAAACAATAAATAA